AAAAAAAAAAAAAAAAAAAAAAGAAGAAGTTTGCTTAAGCCTACTCTTGTCCTTGTCTGCATGACAGGCAGAAGCAGAAACCAGAGAGAAGGCAGGCTTTCTGGGAGACAGGTGGCAGCGCCTATCTGAATCAACTGCACTGGTGCTGGCACGGAAAGCGAGCGTAGAGACAGCATGTGGCGAATGCGAACCGGATCTGGCACCGCCAAGAAGGATGAAGTACATTCTGGGTAGCCCTTGGACGTGGAAGCAAAAGGGGATGGCTCAACACAATTTAACTTTGAGAGAGCAAAAAGATAGCTATGAAATCAGGACAAGAAGGCAAAAAAGAACAGGAAAGAGTGAAAAACATTTTAGCACATCATGTTTTAGGTATCGATGGGACTCTTGGGCAGAATACACAGGTCCAATACCACAGGTGACACGAGAAGCTGAATAGGGGACTGGAACAGGGGAACAGAACGTGGAGTCATCCGCCTCCCGGGGACCGTTAGAACCTGAGACACAAATCCCCAGTCCCATGCAAACCAGGTAGACAGAATGAGGAGCAGAGGGGTGGCTGAGACCAGAAGAGAGGAAGTGTTCTGCTTAGGCTGCTGCTGCTCCACCCAGCTCCAGCTGATGGCCAACACGGAAGAGCATGGAGCCCAGAAGGAGACCGTCTGCTGTTTGGTTTGTTTTGTTTTTCAAAAGAAGCTACAGGACTGAAAAAGAGTAAGGTTTATCAATAAAATATTGGTGGCCAATAATTTTCAACACCAACTGGCGAAAGGAGAAAGTCAGGACCCAAATGTAAAATCCAACTGGGAAGTGACACACATTCTTGACCAACAGGAGTCAATCGAAGTAATGTGACTGAAATTTCTGTTCACAAGAGTAGAATGCAGAACCAGGAAACAATCACTGCTAAAATGGTAGTTATGTCATTCTAAGCTAGAGGCAGCCAGTAACAACTTATTAGAAAACTCAACTTTCTCTCTCCTCCACATTTTTCTAACAAGGATCTACCTCTCCCTGGCACAACTGCATCATTCATATAGCATGGTCATAAGGACCAAAGCATACATGAACAGATACCAGAATATCTTGCATGTGTTGTGATTTCCTTGTGAAGAACTTCAATTACAAAAAGAGGTAAAGTGTGTCCTAGTACATTTCTGCAAAGTATGAAAGACTACTTTCAAACTGACAAGTACGTCTGTCAATGTTTATCATATAAACTGGTATTCCCAGCAACAGAACCAGTACTTTTTAAAATAAACAACAAAACAATGGAGGAAACGTGAAACAGAAGTCTGAAATAATAAAGTACCTTTTTAAACCCAGTAAATCTATAATGTTAAGACACAGCTAAAGAGGGCCTTCCATTTATTGAATTTTGGATCCATTCCAAAATAGGCACTTAGCACCAACCCCCTGGAGAAAAAGAAATCTCAAGAGAAAGCTACATAAAGGGTTTGAAAAGTACATGATATAGTGGATGAATGAGCCTTTACACAGAGTGAGATGGTTTAAATAGTGGCATGAAATGCAGTGTCAGCCCTGAACTTCGCAGGCCTTGGGGAGGCCAGCGATGCCAGTCCAAGGCACTAAATCTCCCTGCACATTAAACAAAGCAAATTGAGAAGAAAAGCATGAAGGACATGAGTTATGGAGATTCCTGCGGCTAATGCAGGTCACTGCAAAGGCTAATGTGATGCCCCTGTCTACAAAAATAAGGGGCAGAACTATTTACTACTGATTATTGCTTGCTTACTTCACACATGTAAAAAAACTTGTCTCTCATTTGCAAATGGCAGGGAGTCAAGCAGGTAAATTAAACCCACCTTTGACTGCAGGGTTTTCCCCTGTCTGGGCATTGGTGTGTCCCACCTAGGCTTAGAGACAATGACAGCTAGGTCTCACACCAGCCCCATCCATCCTGGGGCCAGGTGATACCCTGTTGACCTTTCTGCTCAGTACCCATCACAGCACAGACCTACATTCTCAACTTTTTTCCAAAGGCGTCTCCTTTACTCACTTTTAACATATCTCCCTTCTCAAACTCAAACTTCTGCCTCCCTCCACCCCACAGCTTAGCTCTTGCTCACCTGCAAATTTCCCAGCTTTATCATTGAACACAGTGCACCTCATTTCTTTCCTTTCTCTGCCCACCAAATCATATCCGCTCCCCAACGGATATCTCAAAGTTCAAATCAGCTACCCCACATATTTTTAACCCTCAATTCCCCTCATTTATTTCAAATTTCAACCCTCTGCCTTTAGTTTCTCTCCTGTTCCTCAGTTCACCTTTTATCTCCTGCTCAATGTGGTCTCCACCATCCATCTCCACTCTTCCTCCTGAATGTCTCAGCTTTGACAACTTACCTGCCACCCTTTCGATCACAACACATGAGTCAGTGTAAGTACTGCATTGTGCCTGGCAAAATTCTTAATGTGAAAAGTTACTTTTTTCTTCCTCCTTTTGCAACTTTTTCTGTACTTCTTTCTTTGCTTTATTATTATTATTATTATTATTTTATTATTATTATTATTTGACCCCACCAACTCTTTCCCACATAACCAATTCCATCTGAGTCCCATAAGCAAGTCATCACTCAGAGTCCACTGCAATCACTTTAAAAGTACTCCTCTGAGAATACATTACACACATAGTATGTTCCAAGCTTCAGAGCAGTACCTTCCGAGCAAAGAAAGCCAGTCTGTGTGTCTGGAGATTCGAAGACACTTCAGATCGAATAAAAGGCCCTCCTCAATCTAAATGAGTTATAAAGTAGTGAGGCTCGGGTTCATGTCTGGCTGAGTCAGGAGAGCCGCACCCATCTCTCCTGAGAAAACTCTGAGGTCTATTAGGGCTGGAATAATCTGCTCCCTCGGGTGTGTAGAGATCTGACCTTAGACAAATAAACCGTTCCTCTCAAGAACCTCTAAAGTCCTGACTCCATTCACCTCAGCCTCTAAAGCATACAATCCAAAACTACCATGTGGCCAATAATGATGTGCCAAATATCCCAACTCCACCCTGGCTCCACCCCCGCCTTACCCTATCCAATAGCGATCCAGTAGCACCACCCTGGCTCCACCCCCGCCTTACCCTATATAAGCCTGTGCATTTCCTTAATAAAGCG